AGAGGGTGCTAATACCCAAAACAGGAATCACGGTATGGTAACTGCATAGAAATTGGTCTTTCATGCATGGTATTATTCTTCCCTTGAATTTGTTCCCCGTGAAGGAGCTTTTTGGTTCTTCCTAGGGCAGGGATTGGAGTTGCGGATATGTTTCTCATCTAATTTATTGTTGTCTGAACCAGCATCATGCGCATATGCAATTATACTTTGTTTTGCAATTTTTGTGTGTAGTAATGTACTTGCTTGTCATATTCCCAAGTGCAGGCTACAGTCATTGACCCTGCTGATATTGGAGCTTTGGAGGCTGCATTGAACGAGAAGCAAGTAAGTTTGGGTGCATCATTACCCTGTTACAATTAATTAGTCTCAAGCTTAGGGAACAATTGACCTGAGTTAAGGCACACTTGAGTAATTCGAGCTGTATATTTTTAGCTTGACATACCTGAAATCTTTCATATTGACTTGGCTTGATTTCAGCATGTACAAGTCAACCATTGATTTCAAACAAGGTTTTTCTAACTTATATTGATTTGAAACATTATTAGCAGTCTTGATTAATTTCGCCACTAGTAAAAATGCAAGATCTCGAGGTTTGAATTTTATTCAGATAATTTCTGTAGCAATCAGGCTTACAATAGTTGATTCAACTGTTTTGCTGCCATGCTCAAGTTTCTAGAGCAAGTAACTACTGTGCTGACTGAGTGTTATCACTTTTCCATCCAGGTGTCCCTTTTCTTTACGGAGTCTCCAACTAATCCATTTTTGAGATGTGTAGACATTGAGCTGGTTTCAAAGCTTTGCCATGAAAAAGGAGCCTTGGTTTGTGTTGATGGAACCTTTGCATCTCCAATCAACCAGAAGGCCCTTGCTCTTGGTGCTGATCTTGTTCTACATTCGTTAACAAAATATATTGCAGGCCACAATGATGTATGTGGGGCTAATTTTTGTTTCTAATACTGTCATTTATCAATGACTTTGAAGCTATTTTAATGCAGGTAAACATTAAGAGCATGTCGTCTTTTGTTGCAGGTCCTTGGAGGTTGTATCAGTGGTCCAGAGAAATTGGTCTCTGTAGTACGTGATATGCATCATATTCTGGGTGGTACCCTCAATCCTGTGAGTATACTTGATTGAGATTTATCCCATGGTGTTTTACTTTATTTGAGGTTTAGAACTTCAGGTCTTGATGTAAAAGATATCCTGGGCAGTAGTTGATCTTTGTCTTATTTGTTGGAGAGGAGGCTTATAATTTGTATTTGCTTTTGTCATTTTTTTAAATTGTATAAACAATGATGCTTTTTTCCCATGGTCAGAATGCCGCTTATCTGATCATTCGAGGCATGAAGACGCTGGATCTTCGCGTACATCAACAAAATTCAACAGCATTGAGGATGGCCGAGATTTTAGAGGCGCATCCTAAGGTTCTGGTTTTAGTACTGGTTTTCAAACTGAAAGTTTAATCTGTAAGCAAAGGTTCCATAATCTTCTTAAAACCGGGGGCTTCCTTTCTCTAACGTAACTAAATAAACATGAGTTGCAGGTGAGACGTGTCTATTATCCAGGCTTGGCAAGCCATCCAGAGCATCACCTCGCAAAGCGGCAGATGACTGGTTTTGGTGGCGTGGTTAGTTTTGAGGTGTGTTTTTCTGCCTCCTATTTTCCCTGTTTTGACGTTGATTTTCCGGTATCTCTGTATTAAGTGAATTACAATTTACTTATTAGGTTGATGGAGAGCTATACACGACTGCAAAGTTCGTTGATGCGCTGAGAATCCCTTACATTGCCCCCTCTTTTGGAGGCTGTGAGAGCATCGTGGACCAACCAGCAATAATGTCTTATTGGTATGTATCTGGTCTTACTGGTATACCAATTCTTGTTGCCTTATTTGTACTAAGCATTGATGTGTATCCCCCTGATATTGGTGCTTGCAACATGTTCCAAATTTTTGTGTTTCTTCATCTGCACTACTCATGATTTGGGGGAATATGATATGATCAATAAATTCTGAGAATTGATGCTCTCCTCAAAATATCCCAGCTGCATGCCAATAATGATTTTGGAGAATTTGATATGTTAGGTAGATTCTGAGAATTGATGTTGCCTCAGAAGTTCCCATCATTGCGGTGGTGGTTTACCAATTGGCTTTTGAGCCACTACTTGCATTAATAAACTTGTATCCTATAAGAATACTATAAATGATGAAGCAGTATTGGAGTGATCAAATGAGTATGCTATTGAATCAATTTTCCTTAGAAGCAGCCTAGGCCATCTTGATCGTGTTTTTATCAGGCCATTCCCATCTGATAGCTAATGAAAACATTGAATGCTAAAAATGTGAAGTATAAACTTTGTGGCACCAAGTATCATTTTCATGATGCTAGAAGTTGATGGTTGTTATTTTTCCATTAAATTGCAATCAGGGATCTTCCCCAGTCAGAGAGGGCTAAGTATGGAATTGTGGACAACTTGGTTCGGTTCAGCTTTGGGGTTGAAGGCTTTGAAGACCTGAAGGCTGATATCCTTCAGGCTCTGGAGACTATATAGGACGTCTGACCTGCACCAACATTTTTCACTGTCTTTTCCAAATGTGCCATTTCCCTTTAATATGTTTTGATGTTCAGTTGATGTTTAACTAGGAAAGTGCTCGCTCAATGTAGGTGCAAAATCACCAGAAGAATCCTTCCATTTGTTTCCTATTTTGTTCGAGTAAAATGATTTGCTCAATATTTATTGTTGGAGGAATAGTTCATGGAGTCTCTTCTTCATCGCATATTTCTTTTTGAGTTGTAGCGTTGACTTTTCGGCTGTGGGGGTTTAACACTGGAGTCGTGTTGACCTGTGCACTAGATTATTGTGGAGGCAGGGCAACTTGAAGAGTCATATGGATTTGTTTGGATTGGCCTTTATTTTCCCAAATATAATTGCTTATATCATTATTACAAATTTTAATACACCTTTTTACCTTCTCAATTATCTTTTCATCTCACATACATCACATCACAAAAAGTGCTACAGTAAAAATATTTCAAATAACTTACAATCCAAACAAATCCTATATAGTGTTCCTTTGGGCTTGGATAAGAAATTTTAAAAATTTATGCTTAAGCTGTCCTTGAAAGTTGTAACACAAACTTTATTTAGTCATAAACCCTAGATCTGATTTTATGCTAAATTGCCCTTCTTATGATCTACATACAGTGTCAAAGAGTACAAGCTCTTTGTTGATTAGTAGTATACATTTGCCAGTCTTTGACCCTGCGTTCCGAAATAAGCTTCCTGGAAGGGGAAGGATCCTCAATCATCATCTGTAACCTGCTAAACCAAAGAGTTTCGAGTTTCCCCATAGGTTAAAATATGTGGGGGGTCAAAGTCCAGAAAATGTTGCAAGTGGGAATAGGCCGGCGCTGCGCCTGCGCGTTTGGAATGATCGAGAAACTGTTAATTTGAAGGCTAATTCGTCTTTTTGGTGCAACTCCAAATCTTGAGTTTTGATCTGCGCATACGGTCCCTTCCTTAGAAGTGTCTCCGTGGTGCTGAAATGATATTTATATGTATACCATATATACTATAGAAGAAGGTGATTGGGGTTGACATTAGAATAACATTTATGGTCATTATATGAAGTTTCATTATGGTCACTGTATGAACTTTCATTTTGTTCCTATAAACAAGGTTTTGAAACCCAGACCGTTTATTGATCCAGAAAAATGAAGGGATCAAGAGTCTGATTCAATCGTTGGGCTGTTCTTATTAATCTGTGATGTTATAAATATTATTAATAAATATTAAACATTCAAAAAATAAATAAATATTTGTAGAAATTTAATTCATATTATTAAATGTAATCACTTCAATTCTTATTCTATTATTCTAAGTAGTATTATTTGTTTAAGACTCAAAAATAGCTTTTAAAGTTAAAGGATTTTAATAGCATTATTTCATATATTTTTAATTTTTCTAAATTATATGAGTGCTAGTTTATATGTTAAAAATTGAAACACTTAAAAGGCATTAACAAATAAATGAAATGCATTCAAGATTAAAAAAAAAATATAGTCAATTATATATTATAAATGTTAAACAAGAGTTAACGTGTAATTGTGGAGGAAAAAGAGAAATGAGTAGAATAAGGTAATAATTGTTATTGTCTAATTAATTGAAGATAATTATGCATTAATGAGATTATTGATAAAATATTATTGATAAAATATGAGATTAGTGATAAAATATTATTGTCTAATAATTATGCATTATTGATAAAATATTAAATTTGAAATGTCATTAATGAGATTAGTTGATCAAATTCAAAATTATTGACTTAATTAAGGTTGGATATTGAACTAGTCGGTTCTTCCAAAACCGTTTCGGGTCAACATTCAATGGTGGAACCGAATGGTTCAACTGGTTTAAATGAAAATTGATATAAATTGGTTTTTTAAACAAAGCCAGACCAAAAAGAAGGCGTTCGACGGTTCAACCTATTCGACCCGCCGATCTGAGTTGAATTTTAAAACATTGTCTATAAAAACTACTTTTATTTTAACTACTTATAACTATTCATGACTATTTTTTACTTTTAACCATTTAAATATATGTTTTCAACATAACTACCTCTAAGCATTGTGACTACCAATATAAAATTATTTCATGAAAATTTTTAAAATATTAAAGTTTGCTTCAATAACAAAAATTTTATTTAAAATATATGATCATAAAAATTATGTATTTTTTGATTGCACACACGATGGGTGCATTGAACGCTAATGCTGTGATAAGGCAACTCGAGATTTGAGAATTAAGGAGGCGCCGCGGGAGAGCAGAAGATTGATTATGCTTTTTGGTATTCCTCGGCGAATAATTAGCCGAAAGGAGAGAACCTTGGTAAGCTCCAAAAAAAAGAGGGAAAAAGAAAAAACATAATGCACTGGCCGTTGTCGTCGTACATCTTTTATTATACCTACGCCTAAATGCGAGTACGACAAGGAGAATAATATGTAATGTATGCTCCTGGGGTGGGCTGCTCCGTCATGTCATCAGTCTCTATCCTTGAAAGTCCGAAATTCGAAAATTGTTGCATCCTCGTCCTCATGTCATTGCCATTATGGTCCAATTCCCAGAAGAGAATAGCATCCCCATCCCGTCGATGTTTATACCTCCTTCATAAAACCTGAGCGGCGCTAATAAGCAATAACCACTCTCTCTGTTACTCTTTTAATTAATATCCTGGCCCGGGAAGTGGGGAATCTCATCCGAGTCATCCGTAATTCTCTGTTGGGCTCTCTTAAATTTGATTATCGTCCAAAATAAATACGTACCACTGCTTCTCCAAATTAGATGAAGTTTGGGAAAGAATTTAAGACCCATCTGGAAGAGACCTTGCCTGAATGGAGAGAAAAGTACTTGTGTTACAAGCCCTTGAAGAAGCTCCTCAAAAATATCCCCACCCCCGATGCCGCCCCGCCCCGCCCCCCGCCCCCGCCCGCTCCCTCCTGCTGACGGCGACAACTACCCTCCTCCAGCTCCCTTCCCGGAGCTCCAGGACTGGTTCGTCAGAATTCTCACCGAAGAGCTTGAAAAGTTCAACGATTTTTACATTGATAAAGAGGAAGACTTCATCATCCGCCTCCAGGTCTTATCCCTTTTCAATATGTGCTCCCTCTCTCTTACTCAATCGTCTTCTCGTTCTTTCTCTGTGTATTCTTGTATGTGCCTGAAAGATTAGGTTTTTGTTCTGCAATTAGTGGAAAATTTGTGTAGTTTGATCTCTCTCTCTCTCTCCCCCCAAAATTGTTTGTTGTGCTTAATAATTTGGAGCTCTTGACTAATTCAAAGGTCGCGGAATATGGAATCCTAGACAATGCAAGTGGAATAGAATCTTTGCTTTTTCTTTTCCTAGCTGTTGTAACTTAGTTGGCTACTAAGCTCTTATATTTGTTAGGTAGATAGGATCACATGTGCCGTAGCGGATTTTGTTTTGTGAGTTACAGATAGTAGTTTGATACCAGCATTCATCTGTTCTTGTTATTGTAATTGCGCTCATGTTTGTTTGGGGTTTTTGTTTGCTGCGAGTGAACTAAATGATTCATCCAACTAGGATGATGTCTCCCTGACTTAAGAGGCCTTTAAATAGACCGGGTAGGAGTAGTTGACTGTTCATCAATTAGCCAAACAAATCAGAGAAACCGACCTTAAATTCATTTCCTGACCATATCTATTACTAAATGCTCTCCTTTCTGTGTTGGCCCAAACAGCTATTGTCGAACTCATTTTCTTTTCCTTTTAATTTCTTTAAAAGCCTTGGATTTTCAGGGGAATTCAAGTGGAAATATTCATCTTGATGATAATATATATTGAGCAGTTATGACAGAACTATATGGATATATCTTATCAGTATATGTGCACTATTACCTTTAAAAGGTGGCAACCTGCTGAACTATCTTGTTCTGGTATTGTGCTAATACAAGTTAATTGGCAATATGACAGAAACTGAAGGAAAGAATTGAGCGGGTTAAGCATAGGGAGATCCAACATGGTGCTTCATATACAGACCGTGAATTTAGTGAGGAGATGATGGACATACGTAAGGACTTTGTTTCGATTCATGGGGAAATGGTTCTTCTGAAAAATTATAGCTCCCTAAATTTTGCAGGTAGGATGGTTGCAAAATCTCCTTGTTCTATAATTAGATATGCAATTATCAGTAAACCTTATTTCAGTAACTATAGTAGCTTTTAAGATTAAAAGGTGTAAGAAGACATTGTCATGAATATCTTTATCATACTGTTGGAGAATGTGAATAACTTCTAAGGGAGTCCTCTGTGCGTGCTTAGGTCTTGTGAAGATTTTGAAGAAGTATGATAAACGAACTGGAGAATTGTTGCGTTTGCGTTTTACACAGCTTGCTTTCCATCAGCCTTTCTTTACAACTGAACCGCTCACTAGATTAGTACGAGAGTGCGAGGCAAATCTCGAACTTCTTTTCCCGTTGGAAGCAGAAGTTGTTGAATCTACTGTTGTTGCAGAAGATAAGAATGGAGGAACATCATTAAATACGTCTATGGACACAACGCTGCCACTTGGGAAAGAAACTGCAGATATTTATCGAAGCACGCTTGCAGCCATGAGGACTATTCAGGGCCTAAAAAAGGCAAGCTCTACCTACAACCCATTGTCATTGTCAGCTATCTTTGGAAATCAGGATAATGACAGTACAGGTGATGTAACAGCAGAAAATTCTGCCGACTCTTTGTCCAGCCTGCAGAATGTGGACGAGGTAAACAACGAAGTGGCCTCTTCTCCGAAATAGGTTTCAGTGTTCTGGTTGCTTTATATTGAATAAGTTTTGGAAGTTGATATTGAAGACGTGTAGGTTTTCGGTATGCTAGTTTTTTTTTTTTTTAACTTTGTTATCAGTTTTTTGTAGTTCAAATGATCTCTGTGCTGTGTTATTATAATTGTGCAATAAGCTGCCAGCCAAATATTGTTAGTGGCAGAAATGTTGGGCATAAAATTGCTTAGCATCTTGGCTTTCTTTAGACTTGGAAAGGATTTGTGCATAAAGTTTTCAAGTTTACCGTGAGCCCCTGTTCTGTTTATTTTTTTTCCTCTCAAGTAGGCAATCACTTGTTTAAATTATTTAGATGCTGAGTTGCTGAAGATAAGCGATGGAGGTAAGTTGGAGCTTTCAGCAGCTGCATATGATGTTTGACTTTGTTTACAGAGAAACTAATCTGAACAGATTAAAGGGCACTCATGTTGGTTGATGACTGCAATGGATTTACCATTGTTAATCATTTTAGATTTTTTTTTTTGTACCTTCCCACCCACAACTGTGAGGCATAGGATTTGAACCTTGAATCCAGCTGCAGGGAAGACTATAAAAGCCCTCTCCTGAATGCTAGACCAACCCTAGTGGTTCATTGTAGATTGCTTATTGGATATTTTTCTGACGTAAAAGCCGTTACCTTAGAAGTATAGCCATCTGGAGATTCCTTTGCCATCTTTGACTTGGTATTGCATTTTGATATGTTGCTGTTATCTGCCTCTGTTCATTTCTTCAAGACAAAACGGGGGTTATCCTCCCGCAAATTTACATTTATATGTATGTCTGTACAAACTACTAGCACTATATGTCTCTATGCATACCTACTAAAAGAGAAAGCTGCAATGTAATACTTCCTTGTTATAGATCAGCGGATACAGGCAGTTGTGGTTAAGAAATGTAAAAAGATGAAAGAGGAGCATTTTTCTTGTGCTGTACTGCTTTGTATACAATCGCGTACTCTTGTCCCCATCATGGTGAAAAAAGGTGTGGTACTGACTTGAACGCCCTGTACTTCCCAACATTGTTCAAATGCTAGTTCTCCAACCTGAACAGTCAAAATACGGGCACATTACCACCGGTAATGAGCAAAGTTTAGAATAGTAATTTATATGCGGCTAGAATATATTCAGTTTGGCCACCCCCAAGAGTAGAGTAGGCTAGACTAGATGCGCCGTTACGGAAAAAAAAATTTATATGCGGCTAATGTACCATGCCTTAAGAAACATGGGTTATATATGCAGCTAGATGCAGTGCATCAAAGCAACGAGCGCATCCATCTGCTTGCTCTCAGTTCTTCGGCCTCAGTCCTCAATTCACTTACCTTTTCCTGACAACTTTGTTAAATCTCATCATCCAATCACCACAGAAAGAATGCAACCTTTCCCCGAAGTTGGCAACTGAATTAATTGTAAAACACTGCCCTGATCTTTTGTCATCTGATTTTTCAGCTTGTAATTCTTCGGCCCTAACCCACCTGTCCTACCCAGCTTGCGTGCTACTATTTGAACTAATCTACTGATCTGACTGGGTAATCTTTAACACCCCAACCCCCTTCTTCCACCTCCACACAAGTATACCAGATTTAATGACGATGTGAAGATTCATGATTAGAATGAAATTCTTTGATCACCTCACCTGCCATTATTGAGGTCCCCAAAAAATGAAGAGCAATCCAGTTGAAACTGGTCCACCCAATTCAATTCAATGGTGCTAATTCCACTCGTTAATCTGGTGGTGTTCTTCGTTCCGGACGAGAAATGAGTGAAAGAAAATGAAGGGTCTGATGTGCAAACGTTTTTGTTGATTAATGCCTTATCTGCATTCTGTGGGATACTCATCAGCAAGAAAAAGAAGAAGTCAGGAAAATCAAAACAAACTAAGGCAAAAAAAGATCAATTACATTACAAGAGATCATTACTAATCTCTGTCACCACAGATGCCATCTCACCTTAAAAGGTACAATGGGGTTACCTATTTTTCTCTCCGTCGTGGTAAAAAGGCAGTGGTACCGACTTAAACGCCCTGTACTTCCCTACGTTATTCAAGTGCTCGTTTTCCAGCCTGCACAGTCAATATACAGCGACATAACCATCAAGATTCAGCAACTTAAGTATGCTGCTAAATTGCCGCCGTGCACCAAGATTACTTTTCTAGATTTCCTGGTCCTACAATTTGCATTTCTTACTGTAACGAGGACAAGTAACATCTATAGCAACTGCGAATGTCGTTCCTTCATTGTAAATGCATCAGACCTGAAGAAGTTCCAGATGCCTCGCCGAAGGATTTCGAGACAGGCAACGACTGCAACTAAGGCTTTCCTGTGGAGGAATGGTGCTTCTTGCAAATCAAGAACCAGCTGCATCCACACAAGTCTTAACAGGATATTAATGACCTGCCATCAGGTGATCAGATTCCTTAAATAAGGCCCCAAAAAAAATATTCTTTTGGTTACTGAATTGACAAGAGCCGTTTAGTGAATGGCAGTACTTACGATGGCAGCAAAGTAAATCTTCTTGTTAGATATGAGGAGCTTATCTCTGAGCCAGGGGTTTTTGGAATTTCTTCGCAAGAGACCCCAATCCATTACAATGTCCCAGTACGCGCTGCCAATTGTAGTAACTCCAGAACTGGCAGCTGCCATAATCTTCCAAAAGGTACCTCTTCTGAGATCATAAATAGTCCTCATCACAACAGCAACAATTGTTGAGAAATACTTGAGCCCATTAAGCACTTGCACAGGATCGCCTTCCTCCAACCACCGACGCAGACACTATTTGTACAATAACATTTTGTAGTACATTTAGTTGTTTGAGTTACGGGTATCAGAATTTGACCGAAAATATAGCATAGGTACCTGAAGAAAGCGAGCCCAAAAAGGAACGACTGCTATAATGATGTAAAAGATTTGATAAACTGACTCTCCTGGCACCTGTTTGATCTCCTTTTGAAGTCTCCCCAACCATAGTAACAGACATAGAATTCCAGGCTCCTGAATGCCTGAATCTGTGTTCACATAGCAGACAATCTGGGAATGAGTTAGTGGGGTAGGTTGGAACTCTTAAAAGTTGCAGAGAGCATTTTTCGGACCTGGCTAGTGAGCTGATCGGCCAAGAAAAAGTCCGGGAGAGTAACCTACAAGATGCAACTCGGCACAACAACATCAGATGATTTTTTATCCGGATCAGTAGTTAGTATGTGCAGTTCTCCATTTGAAGGTTCCGCAGATACCTTGTAAAGAGGGGCACAGAGACAGCGCCATGAGCATTGAATAAGAAAGAAGCGGCTTGAGCGATATATGGTGTTGAAAGGACAAAAGAGTATAAAAAGCACTACCTGCAAGTTATGTTATTGTCAAACTACCTTTACCAAATGGTTAAAATCAAAAGTATTAAATTCCCTTGCTGTTTGGACAGTTGAAACTAGTCCTGTAGAAAATATCCTTAATAAAGCAAATATGATTGTCTCCAGTAGGCTTACAGTTACAAGGCCTAATGGCACCAATTCAGTGATTGTCCTGTAGCTTTTGGTTCCAGAGTCCATTTCCATATCCAGGTTTGAAAGCACAGCAGCCAAAGTGAGTACTGAAAGACCAGAAGCAAGGAGGAGGACTTCTCTATAACCAACGAATTCTTTGAATCCAAATATAAAGGGATAGTTAACTCGAAAACACCTCCAGAGATACATATTCACGGCAAATAGGACCATATGTAGGACGATGTAGCCAAACAAGCTGCAATGATGATGTCCTTCGTTATTAAATTGAATGTGATATATAAAATTCTCTCATATCATTACTAACCAGAATGACACTAAAGAAGGAAAATGAAACAATATATTTTTCTAGCCAAATATCACCTGTAAAGTGGGAATATATTTTCCATGTATCGTCCTCGTTCCTTACTATTAAGAAGGTTTCTTGCATGGATGGAGACTATAATGGCTGCTACCAGCGCGATCGAGCAGCCAGAGAAGAGACCTGCATGGCAGATTGGTTCAGAAATTTGCAAGTCATGTAAATGTGCTCCAGGATAGTTGGTGAAAGATGACCGCTTACAAAACTTACCCAAGAAAAATGTTACACTATGCCTCTCTCTGTAAGGCTGTGGCCTTAAAAGTCTCATGCCTTCCCTGTGATTTCCATTGGCGAAGTGCTTTATGATCGTAGCCTCCACTCTTTCTGTTAGTCTAGTAATCTGATGGAATCACAGAGAAAGACAGAGCAAAATGTTCATATATTGTGCGTAATTTTGCTGAACTAAATGAACGTGTTATGAATCAGATTAAAACCTCATCAGAGTTCCCTAGACAAGAATTGTCAACCATTTCTAGATAAGTTTTTGATGCACTCCTTGATGTGATCTGCTTGATCACAAATCAGCTAAATTTTAAGATTCTGGAAATCAGAAGGAGACTTTGAATCTTGAGTTGACTGAAAACTTGCAATTTATACCTTGTCATACTTCTTCATGATCTTAGAGAAAGCCAATAAATTCAAGAAGCTGGCACAAGAAGGAAGAGGTAGTCACACTACTAAATTCTGCATAAGCCTCTATTTATTTATTTATTTCATAAAACGTTGATGAAGGAAAGAAGAAGAAGAAAAGTTGATGAATGTCTAGCTAAACAACAGCAGATGAAGAAGAGAAGTTATTATCTTTTATTGGTACCAGTAACTTTTAAGGAGTCGAAGCTTTTGATGAATTGAACAAATGCCTGTTTGATTTTGTCCTCTGCTTTCTTTAACTCCTCCTTGCTGAATGACAGATCGGATTTTGAGCTCACAAAGACGTTTTTCAAAGTTGAGACAGGAGTTTCTGGTTCAACATTGACCCTTACATGATCCAAGACTTCTAATTCAGGAAACGCGAATCCCTCAGCAACATTTAAATTGCTTTTGTCTCGCATCCTCTGATGATTGCTCTTTGATTCCCTGCCACCTGTTCTCATTTGATCCTCAGAAATCCCTTCACTGCCCATCTCAACTTCTTGAATTGCATCCATATGAGACATTGCTACAACTTTGTGAAAAGACCAACATCAGCTCCTACAGGATAACAGAAGCAGGTAGTATGGACTATCCTGATAATATTATTTACCTTGTTTGCCAACATTATTCGAATGAACAACCGAATCTGGTGGTGGGGCTCTACCATTTGTACTCTTGTAGGCACCATTTAGTTGCATCAATGGATTATCAACCTTGATTCTCAGAGCAATGAGAGCATCCATCTGCTTACTCAATTCATCTGCCTCAGACTTCACTTCATTTAACTTGGCCTTGTAGAATTTGAGTACTTTGTTGAACTCGCCATCCAACCTCCTGAAGAATACAAGCTCATATTCTCCCCCTTCTTCAGAAGACATTAAGAACATGGTTTGGTAGCTCCCTTCTGAGTCATGGTCTTCTGGTTGTTGAGCTGCACTGACTAGTATTACCTCATCCTCGTTATTCTTTCCAAGGGAACTTCGCAGACTGTTGTGATAACCGGTCAGGCCACTGAAGGCTCTATACAGGGAGAGCCTTCTCTTTAAGGTACCTTTTGGGGTCATCAAGTCTGATGCTGATGTTGATGCATTTCTGTGTCTGAAATTCCAGACATCTTTCAGCAACTTCTTGAGAAAATTGTAGTCCATATAGGCTTGCTGCCATTCCTGCACCATCTGGGAAACAAACTCCTTTCCAAACTTCATCTTTTACCTATTGAGTTAGGGAAGGCACCGTCTTTTGTTTGTGGGATGGCTATGCAAATTTTTCTCTAAAGAAAATGAGGAAAAGTTTTAATGCATTGTTTTTTGTTTTTCCGGACGGCTTTGCAAATGCAGGTACATGAGAGAGAGCGACAGTGTGATTGCCTTGACAAGATTGTACATCATCAGTCCTCTTTATTCTTAGTTGGCGTTTTCTCTTTGTCTTTGCCTCTCGTTGTCTCTAGTGATTAATCATTACTATTTCATTTGATCAACCAACAGCGAATTGGTCTGCTCTTTATTAATCATTTCAGGGTTATCAAAGTTGTTAGACGCATTCTTTCAAAGAAGAAATCTTTCTGACGCCATTTGTGCCAAAAACAACAACTACTACTCAATTAGACAGTATGGTAGTAGTAATATTAGTACGCAACCGTACAACATGCATGACGAGTTCATGCACGCCTTAATCTGGCAAAATAGTAGCACGACGTCGTGATGCAACATTTCTCCAAACATGGAGGAGTCAGGTCCCTCCTTCGACTGTAAGTTGAGGATGTTTGCGTTTTCAATTTAGGATTTTCTTAAATATTTCATCTGCAAATATTTGAAGTGAGTGTTTAGTTCCTTAAGAATCTCTCAATAACTCCTTTAGATCTACTCCTCTCGTTAATTTAGAATAGAAGCAGAATAAAACTATTGCGTCGATTAAAAAAAAATAACTGAACCAAAAAAAAATCACTCCCTCCCCCGAAAAAAAACCCCACCAAAGGAATTGTTTTCTCTATTTGTGAGTCACTAACGTTTAGCACTTGGGACAAATTCATCTGTTCAAAAAAAGCCCTTTCTCAACATTTGGATTAAACAAGGTATCTAACTCATTCCACAGCCACCTAATCCAAAATTAGGAGCAACAGCTCTGTGTAACACTAGAATTGAAATGACCGCGAAGAAGAAAAAGAAACAGTAAAATAGCTCCAACGTACTTACTTCCTACTTAATCACCTTCCTTGGTTGAATAGGTCCTCAGACGTTTCCATGCAATTCAATGTTTGCTAACCCACTCCTGCCTGCTCTCTGATAATTTGGTAAACCTGCCGCTGGATTTAAGCTTCGGACTACTCAATAAATTAAATGAAAATTCAGGGTCCCATGAAACGCTTAGTACTCGTATCTTATCGCACTTAACAACAGAATAGATACTACTTTCTTCATTGGCATGTCGGAATTCTTATTACAACTTGTCCTATTATTAGTGGGCGATCGACTCATTTGGGAGTTTGATTGGAAAAGACAATTTACCTGTATTGTTGTATTTAGCTGGTGCCCTGTTGATGCAATGGTTGCTAGTAGATTTTTGTGTTTTAAAGAATTCCCAAGCAATGGACCTCCATCCTTCATTTTGACCTTTGCTCTGAGTCTTGCTGTTACTATAGTTGAATTCAACGTTTGTATGGTTGCTGTCGGAATCTATCCACTCTTTTCTTCCCGTTCCCTTGTAGAAGAGGGATCATAGATTTTTATACATATCATTCCATTTTTTGTTTTCCTCATTCTGAGGTTTGAGCACAATGAAATTGATGATTATGCTGCCACAATTCAAATGATGCTAAAAGTCCCGCAGAAAATGACCTAGAATGAAAAAATTGCCATACAAGATTTATATTGACGTCCAGGACAAAATGAACTAGAATGAGCAGGCCTTGTATGATTACTCTTTCTTTCCCTTGCTCACCTTGTAGTTTTATGTACAATCTATTCTTTTACAGCAAGTACTCATCGTTCAAGTACATGGCATTGTCGAGGGAATGAGTATGATCGTTCAAGTACATGGCATTGTCGAGATTATTCAATAGCCAAAAGTGTATCTTAAAATACTATTAGACAGACGTTGCAAGAACATGGCATTCTTCTCTTGCTTAATTCCCGAGATGGAAGAATTCCAGAATCAAACCATTATGCGAAACTTTAAAGCCACAAAAGCAAGTCATGGAGACCAAAGCCAATAATTTTCAAATTTGACATGAAAAGCAACTTAGCTGCACTTAATCAGACAAGGGGAATATCCACAACACCTTCCCAGGTACTTGGGATTTCACTTATCGGCTTACAATCAAAAGCAAAAGGCTGACGATCTCACACAATTAACTTGAGTCTGCATAGCTCTAGTCTATTTATTTCTTCTCAAAGATACTGCAACAATATATGCTTAAAACACGCGAACACTGAAGGGAAGCATGCCAACCCTTATTCAGTAATAGTAGTGGATTGAAATAACATGAACCCCTAGCAGACCACCACTTGCCAGTTTGCTCACTCATCGTCATAGTCTTTGCGGTGGTGGTGCTGGTGGTGATGCTTGTAGCGATGTTTCTTTTCCTCATCATCATCAGAGCCCTCGCCGCCCTGCCAATGTAAAAGCATGACATTGTAAATCAAACCAATCGTAACAAGTACATAAAAATAATATATATATATATATATATCATTATACATAATTCCCCCCAACTCTTCTTGAGTATAAAATATACTTAAAAAGAACATCATCAGTGTAATGGTGACAATAACATCTGCAGCATGATCTACATGCTGATTCCGCTGCAACGGACTAGTTACGGCAAAACAAAACAGAGACATCATTGAGCTACTGTCCTTTGATCTCAAAATAATTCAATCATCTTCTAAGTTTTCTCTGTTGTTATACGCTTTATCCTTTCATCCCTTCGTTCTCATGTTTTTTATGTGCATGCATGGATATGCGTAAGTGCAAAAAATCACTCTTATTTCACGTGATGCTTAAACAACGTATGACAGATTTATACAAACGTCAAATGCATCTCAGTGCTCAATCAATACGGAAATTCACATGAAACAAGGACACTGGTTTACACAAATTCCCAATCTTAAACACTAGTAAACCAAGCAGGATAAGAAACAGAACCACTCCAATGCCCCTATTCAATCATAAATTAGTTCTGCCGCCAATAAACCACAAAAAAACAGGGATAAATATGTTACCCCCGACTGCCTTTAACTGCAGTAGTTTCTTGCCATGCACAAAAGCTGTAATCTATAAGGCAGTGCGTACTAAAATGAAGAGAGTACCCAAAAAAAATTCCAAAGCACTAGCCAAGTGAAGTAGGAGTATATATGACAGCCATAATTTGAGAACAAATTTCAAAAGGGAGACACAATAAATCCGAATGGCAGAATAATGGGCAAAGAAAACTGCGGGAAAACAAAGGCAAGAAAAAAGAAGAAAAACTAGAGCAAAAGTTGGGAATGGCTTTACATATTTCTTGCGGCCATAGCCTTCGTCGTCATCATCACGGCTCCCATAGCTGGGCTTCCTGTACTCCTCTTCCTCAGACCTTCCATAGCTGGGCTTCCTGTATTCCTCTTCCTCAGACCTTCCATAGCTGGGCCTCTCATAGCTTGATCCTCCATACCTACCCTCACTCTCCTGACTCTCGTAACTCGGCCTCTCAGGTTTCCTTCCATATCCTCCATACCCACCACTCTCCTCCTCGCCATAGCTCGTCTTCCTGGCATTCCCGGATCCATACTCCGATGTGGGCTCCTCATACCCGCTCTTCCGGCCGTATCCGGATCCGTATTCGGAAGTTGGCTTCTCATAACCACCGGATCCTAATCCGGAAGTTGGCCTCTCGTAACCACCGGATCCATATTCGGAAGTTGGCCTCTGGTATCCACCGGATCCATATTCGGAACTTGGTCTCTGGTATCCACCAGATCCATATTCCGGGCTAGGCCTCTCATACTCCGGTTTCCGGCCGTACCCGGATCCGTACTCCGAGGTAGGCCTCTCGTATTCGGAGCCGGGCCTCTGGTACCCAGATCCATATTCAGAACTAGGTGGCTTCGTGCGACCGTATCCCTCGGATCCGAAACCGCCGCCTCCGTACTCGCTCTCTCCACCATAGCCACCGGCTCCGGGACGGTTCACGCCAGGCTGGAAGGCGTAGTTGGGCTGAGGGTTGTCATGCCCATAGCCCCCAACATCCCAGATGGGGCCCCGTAGGAAGGTGGAGGGGGACCAGGGCGGCCGGGGCGGGGCTTGGGGCGAACATAACTTTTGTACTCATTTTCGAGGGCCTGGTCACCGTAGGCGGAGGGCTCAGCATAGGAGGAGTACTGGGGGCGGTCGTAATCGAAGGACTCGGAGGTTGATGAGGAGCTGCGGTAGCAGGTTTCCTCGGAGGGAGGAAGTGGGCGGCCGTAAGTCAGAGAAATGTCGTATCCACCACTGTATGGGGTGGGATCGTACTCATCAAAGTCCTCGACGTCATCGCTATGATCTTTTCGGAAGTAAGACATGGTTTGTTGATTGGTCCTGCTGCTCTTTTGCTGAAGAAGAATGCAAACTGGTGATTTTGATCTTGATCATCCGGTGATCAACCTTCCTCTCTTCCCTTCCTCCAATATATACTACATGTGAAGGGTAGAAGACGGAGGAGAGATTCTCGTCTTGTACGCTGTCGTTTTAGATGGGCTAAAATGCCTAAAATTACTTCGATAGCGCCACGTGCCTGCAGATTTACTATGATTTTACGTATATGGACGCTTAATGACCAATTTACCCATGTCGACAACAAGATTCCATTCCTGCCCTCCTCTCAACCTGACAACATTTTCCATTTTTTTTTTTTTGTCGACACAGGGTGTCCGGGTCAATTCTTACGGGGCCCGACTAATCCCCTGCGGCTCGGGAGAGGAGGCCCTACTCCACACCGAATACGTTAATAGCGGGACTCGAACCCTGGATAAGTCAGGAAGGTTGCCATACCCTAAGGAGAGGGAACGGACCGCTCGAGGCCCCTCGTCCGATTTTTCCCCTGCTTTTTGTCTCAGCCGTTGATATGCTGCCCGTAGTATTCCCAGTTCCCCGTATGCATGCCAAGTAGCAGAGTCGGTCCACCAGTATCTACTTCCACCATTATCGACCTGTAGCACATATTTTGCTAGCTAAAACAAGAGACAAGAAAACTTGTACGAGCATCAAATATATTAAATTAAAAAATAAAAGAATTATAATCTCTGGAAATTCTAAAATCTGAAAAAGCTAATTCTAATATTTCTTTTTAAAAAGGCTTGTTATTTCCTACAATTTGAGCGTAGATAACAAATAATTTGGTTGATGATTGAGTACTTGAACCTTTCATCGTCACTCGAACCTTCACTTTCAATCTTCAAGCCTTTGACGTGTACGGAAGAATTTGTTCAACTTGATTTTGACTTGAACATAATGATTTGTTTGACTTTATTTATTTTTCTTTTTTGGACCAATCGGTAATTTCCAAACTAACCTATTTAAGGGATGAAACAGGCTCTGTTTGGATTCCTCAATTTTTGAAAAATATTTTTTTCATATACAATGTTACAATAATATACGAGGAAAAATAACTTCAAAAATACCATATTTATACAATATATCAAAAATAACTTCAAGTATATATAAAAAATTATATCACTATCCATCACTCTCTACCATCACGGCCACCATCCCCACATCCACGACCTTCTCTCGCTCTCTCTCTCTCTCTCCGTCCAGCTTTCCTCCTTTTTTTTTTCTCCTCCTTTCTCCTTTCTTCTTTCCCTTTCTCCGCCCCTCAATTTCCTTCCCTTCTACAGACCGCAACCTTTCTAGTCATGATCAAATCTGATCGCAATTAGAAGCCACGACTAAAACGGTCGTGGTTAGAGTGATGGCTAAAGTTGCAGTCACCACCCGCGAGCAGGAGAGGGGTTTGGGGTTGGGGGAAGGAAGGGAGGAGGGAGAATGGAGATAGGATAGGAAAGAGGGGGAGGAGAAGTAGGAGGGGGAGGAAATAGAGGGGAGGAGGAGAGGAATAGAAAGGAAAGAGGGGAGAAAAAGGGAGGGGGTGGTGGTGGATTGTGCAAAATTTAAAAAAAAATTCCAAAAAAATTATAAATTATAAAATATTCAAAAAATATTTTAAAAATACCTCTAAAAACAATCCAAAAAATATTTACAGTAAAAGTTTTTCATATTCACAGTTATAGTAAAGTTTTTGAAAAATACCTTCAAAAACATCTAATCCAAACAGAGTCGCAATTATCTTAGAGGGGAAGGTTCCTAAGATATCTGACTTATGACCCATTTCACTTTACCACCACCTAATCTAGGGGTACGTATCGAAATCGAAATCAGTAATTTGAATTATTGAATTCGAAATTTTGACATCAGAAAATCTGATCGAATTCAATTTTGAATTCAAATTCGTACCGAATTCAATTCAAAATTCGGTAAATTTCAATTTCACCGAATTTTGAGAATCCTTTTTTTTTTTTTGGAGTTTTGTTTTGTATTTCTAATTTTTTATTATAATTATATATAAATTTTGCTAAACTAAATGCTAATTTTTGTATAATATATGTTTATAATTATAACGCAATATACAACTAACTTAATAAGACTTATTATTGTATTGTTAAACAATATAATTATTAGTTAGATGTATTATTATATAATATAATTTTATATTACATATATTAATATATATCCTTATACTATATAAGATTGAGTTTTGGTTAAAAAATAATTTGAATTTCAAACGCATAAGTGAGGGCTTTTTGGGAATGTGAAATGTTGTGTATTAGTTTAAAAGCTTTAGGTACAACTTAACGAGGCATGTATTTGGGTATGTTTATTGAAATGATCCCATTTTAATACATTTAAAGTTGTCATTGCTGAGCCATCTGAGTATTGATGGAATATGTAATGTGTGTGCAATCGTTTTTGCATTTTGTACAACCCATATATGCTCGTGTGTTGGTATAATTACCGGAATATCCGTTAACTATCAATAATTTCCCATTTTAATACATTTAAGATTGTCATTGATGAGCCATATGGGTATTGATGGAATGTGTAATTACTGTGCAACTGTTTTTACATTTTATACAACCTATATATGCTTGTGTGTTGGTGTAATTATCGGAATATCCCTTAACTACCAATTATTCCTCTTTTCAGCCGTAGGTAATCGTTTGAGATGTTGCTTTGTGTCAAACGTTTCAATGGTTGCCGAATGAACTGTTATGAATGTTAATAGTTTGGTCGGCATCCATTTTTCTATCATTTATAATCTACATTTATGAGCCACAAACGCTGGTCAATTTATCCCCTTTCAGTTTCAGGGATTAAGTTTTTCCTTTTTGTTTTTGTCTACAACAATTTGGTTCATCGTTTTCTCTTTCATCCGAACTCAACTCTGAAATTACCTACTATTTCGTAACTAATTACACCCCAATTCAATTGCGGAACCTTTGGTATGTTAATGCCCAGACGGTTGATTATCAGTTTCTCCCTGTTTGCATTTTGGGATTGGGATAGTTCTTCCTGGCTTCATACTAATCAGCTAAGAATGCTTTTCAGTCACAGCTACTCCTGGTGGTTCATCTTGAGATTAAATTTCACTCTCCTCCTCAATTTTTCAGTTCCTTCCTTAATTTTATCGGTGTGTTTTTAGTACATGTGATTAGCGACTTTTATCGCGTTACTAGCTGCAAGATAACATTTTTTCATTGATTCAGTTGTCCTCTGTAATTTGACTGGGTTGATTATAATCTTATAGGTTTGGAGCAACAGCAAGAAAGAGTTCTTGGTAGGGATTCTGAAATAAGGTTAGTTTTCTGTGTTGCTCTGCCTTTCTGTATTATCACCAACCTTCAATTTGACATTGTTTTATTGTAATGCTGTGTGAATTGATTGATTATATTGTTTATTGTTGATTTGGGTGTGAAGTGTTCACTTCACTTACTGCTAAATGTGTTCCTTATTTTATATTGTATGAGAACAAATTTTTATGCTGTATTCCATGCCCGAAATTGCTATAAAGTTAATGACAACTTAATCTATAATAAGAAGAATTAATATGGGACCTGCATTCACTAATCTGTCAAATGCAAGTTCGTCAAAGGTATCGGTTAAACATGGGACCACATCAAAATGGATTAGCAGTGCTATAAGCGTACACAATAACGAAGCACTTGAAAGATCTCCAGGAACTCAACTCCTGAAGAGCTCGCTGTCATATCAAAGTACACAACCAATATGCAACCGCATCAACATCCCGAAATTCTGGCAGTGCAATAAGCGTAGCTGAAGTAGCAGAAAAATCAGACTTTATCTCTCAAGGAACGGCAATAGATGTCGCAATGACAGAAATGGAGACAAGGAAAATAGTCAGCCCAACCAATTTGGACACCTTATCTTTTACAAAGTCCAGTGAAGGAACCAGTGGTGCAACACCTACACAACAAAATGACGGAACCACCAAGAAGCAACACAACTGAGTACTTAAGGGCTGCCTATTAAAGTATCTAAATTAGTCTACTACTATTACTATCACTAAATAAGGGACTGTATGGTGCTAGTATTATAGCTATTACTCTCTTTGTTTTCAATAATCTTTGTTTTATGGACTATTACTACTGTTCTCGTTCGACTACTTTATGGACTATTTTTTTTGGAATAGTAACTGCTTCTCATTATTTAATAGTTATTTCTTCTCATAATGTATTATTGTTTGTTCAACAAAAAAACTTTCTTCCTCACAAGCACCAAACACCCGCGCGATGCGCGGGCACTCCCCTTGTATATATATATGAATTTGAAATCAAAATCGATATTCGATTTTCGATTTCACACCGATTTGAATTGTGAAGTCAAAATCAGAATTTCTGATTTGAAAAATTCCATTACGAATTCGAACCAAATTCATATACTTCGAAATCGAAAAACTCGAATTCCATTCTGATTTCCGATTTACCGATTTCAAAAATTTTGAATTCAATTCGAATTCAGTCAGTAAATCGAAAATTTTTAATTTTGCACACTCCTAACCAAATCCAATATTCCTTCCTCCCCCTCCTCTTTGTTCTACAAGACTTAATAAGGCATTACTCAATAGTTGTTGGAGACAAATCTTGAAGTGCTTCTTTCGCGATCTACATTTTTTGCCAAAATACTATACATCAATTTTGCAATTTGTGAAGATCAAACGAATTCATAGTGTACTCGAGGGCCATCAGTATAATTTACATAAACTGGGAATAAATCATGTTCATTGCCACTTCGGGACTAATCAATTCCCTTCTTTAGATAGACTTAGCAATTGCCGAAATGCTAATTCTTCTAAACACGATACCTCACATGCATAATCAGAAGTTTAGCTGAAGATGTTATCAAAATATTCCACATGGCTAAAATAGAATATTATTTAAATTATTACTGTAAAATTTTTGTAATGTAATATATGTGTACGTGAGTTAAAAAAATAATTTTAAAAACAAAAAAAATGAGTGATGAATGTATTTGTCATGCAAGTACAAATATTACTTGAGATAATTACGTTTTGGGTAAAAAAATAAAAAAGTCCCTGTGTTAAACTTAATACACAGAA